CAGTTCAGAGCTCTGGCAGCCTGATGCTGAGATACTAGGAGCCGGTCATGGGAAGCAGCTTGACGGGGCCACTCTGGCCACCTGGGGTGCGCGCTGCTCCTTTAACAGCTTGCTGCAAAACAAATGCTGAATGCTATTTTTGCTTTTCACCTTTCTTCATTAAAGCTAAAATCTTCGGATTTCTTTCAATTAGCAAAAACGAGAACATAGGTTTTCACAGAAGTGAAGTGGCATACTGCAGACTTTCAAAAAGCAGGGGATACTTATAAATAACATCACTACAAAAAAAAAAAGTAATCTCATTCCAATTCAACAGCAAAGCTTGGAGGGACTGGTTTGGGGGCCTCCACGCTTTGGCCTGGAGAGATCTGTGTGAACTTCTTCTCTCCCCACCAGCTAGAGTGCTTTATTGCTCATCAAACAGGCAACTTCCTTCCCCTTGGCATGACTGTGTCCTTTAAAGTCAATTGTCACCTAAGAAATTTTGCTTTGATTCCACTTGCTGCAAAGAAGATACAAGGAACAAACATTAGATCAACAGGATATTATAATCACCTTTTTTGGCAGGTGCAATGCCCACATCAGGCAAGGGTCGGGCTTGTTTCAAATCCTTGAGGCATCTGCTGACACTAACAGGCAGTCTTGGTCAGGAAACACTGAGCAAAGACGTAATATTGCCCACCTTGTTCTTTTGCTTAAACCTCCCCTAATCTTCAGGTACATGTTGTGCCCCTTAACAAACGGGTGAGGAAACTGAGGCTTTGGTTAAGCAAATTGCCTCAGCTTACATGGAAGTTGATATTTGAGCTCAGGTTTTGTTAACCTGGCTCCCAAACCCAGTCTTTGTTACATAAAGCTGCTTCTCTTAATAATCCATAGGCTCCACAAGGATAGAGAAGGGAAGGTGCTAGTGGAAAAGTAGTTACGTTTTTTGAGGCAAAATCAACTGTCTGAAAATTAATCCAATTCTGCTCACTTTACAGGATTATGGAGAAAACAACTGCCTTCTCAGCACAAACAGTTCTATTCTGCCACAACGCTCCCACACTGCCCTGTTGATACAGCCCTGCAGAACCTTGCTGTGTGTATAAAGGCACGAAAACCAGAAGGGCTCTCATTCAGAGAGGTCATAAAGCAAGAACTCAAGAAATGCTCATTAACTCTTTAAGATCTGTTTTATGTGCCTTTTCCCTTTCCCCGCAAGAAGTCTTCCATTGATCCTAACATTGTTAACTAATCACCTGTGTACTAGGAGCTAGCTAGAGAGAGCACACAATGGTGAAAAAGGAATCAGCAGTACTATCAGACCCAAATCCCGGAACTTCAAACTACGGGAAGGAAATGTGCTGTCCACTGGGCAGGTATATTGCACTGGACCCTCTGGAAGTTGAAGCTGGAATGTTAATTTACCCAAACTTCCAGGTGATTATAATGCACCATACACAGCTCTAAAGAGAGGTCCTAAGAATCATTCAATCAAGAATTCACCCCTGGAGATCCCACTCGATTAGGGAAATGTTAAGACTCGTTTCTCTTTTAAAAGTTCATACCTCTCAATGAACTGATGTTCTTTTCCATAATCTGCTGGCCATTTTAAAAGCTGGATTTAGGAAGTGATATTTCCCATTTATGCCATCACCAATGCTTGGTAGCAATTAAAGAGTCTTTAGGTCTTATCTCTGAATAAGATGAAAATTAAAATTGTAGAGCCCAAATCCCATACATAGATTTCATAGCCAAACCAAATCACTAAGCAGGAATTCAGATGGCTGATAAAGTAAGTTTGATGGGAAAGGAATGATAAATGTATTTCCACACAGGGGATTTATGTACAAGAACTGTTCTTGAATCTCTGAGTAGTTAATACTTTCCAACAAGGTTATCCGCTACTTTTCATATGCTGAGGACAGAGGCTCTTCCAAATTTCTTTGGAGCTTTGAGTAAACTTAGGTTTCTTGACTTTGCTATGCTTCTGACAAAGCTAAAAGAGGAAAGTATGCTGTAAGGATAGCCTATACCCCTGCTTGTGTCACTGAAGGTAAAATGTTGATTTTAAGTAAAACACACACACAAGGAGTGGGAAAGTAATGAGGTGACTCATTGTGCAAGTGTGAGAGATAGGAAAGCCACCTGTGAGTTTCTGTAAACCAGGAGTGTATGACGTTCGCTTGCCATAACCTCAACTGCTAAAACAGTAACACTCTAACTACTGAATTTTTTTACGGTTTTCATGAAAATCAAGTGGGTTTTTAAAAGCTGGTAGCTCAATCTCTCAAAACCAAAATCAAAGAATGAAAGCTAAGCTGAAAACTTCAAGAAAGAAAAGTTAACGCAAACATGTGGAGTTCAAAATAAACATTTTTAAAAACTTTTATGAAGTATGGAATGAGCTTTTTGGTTTCTTTTTTTCTAAGTAACTTGAAGTTTTTTTTTGCACTTTAGGTCTTATGTCCCAAATGAAAATACAAGCCCATAACACAGGCAGGTCTGGCCCATGGTTACCACTGATATTTTGCAAAGTAGCAATGAACATAAATTATTTCCATAAAGCTGGTTTTTTTGCATTTATTAAAATTAAATAAACTACAATCACCTCCCAACAAATTACTGTGACAAGTTAAATGTTGTTCCCCACTCTAACCTAATTCCATGCCAGGTGTTTTCATCTTAAATGACGTCTACCATATAACCATTTTGTGAGGCCAAGGTGGCAACAATATGTTGTCAGTCTTAAACTGATTTTCAAAAGGATGCACAGGTTCACATTTCCACATCTATAGAACTTTATTAACAAGTAAAACACATGTCAGCATGTTTTATATATGGGCAAGGATATTCTTACAATAATTGGCACATCATCATCTAACAGTTGAACTTTATCCTGAATGAGATTTTTTAAAAGAATACACTAACATTTCATATGTCGGAGGAATTATATAACTAATAAACAATTAACATAACATTTAACAGCAGTCTTAAAATATAAAAGCTCATTGTTTACTCTTTACTATAAGCTGGAGTCATTCCAATACAATTTCTATTTAAAAAGAAAAAAGAAAGAAAAAAAAAAGATACCGTGCGTATTCTACAGGCCAGACAAATGCACTGGCTAGGAAAGGCTGTGACAACAATTAACTCCTGACCTAATACGCCAGCTCCTTCTCCCAAAGGGCAGTGGGCTTAGGCAGTCACTTCTCAGTGAAAGGTACAGCTATATAGACACTGTGTTCATATAACTTATTCTCCTTTTTAGGACACTTTTCAGAGAAGAGGCACTATTTAAGCTGAGAAAACAAATAATCACAACTGTTTCTGAGCAAGCTCAGGACATGTCACTCCAGTTAAATACAGTATCACATTCACCACTGTTATCTTTGTGCTTTGGGGGACAGAAAGGACCAGTTGAAAAAGAAATATTAAATTAAGAAACCCTGATTTTTTTTTTTTCTCCAATTGGACTTTTTGGATTTCACTTTTCCTGTGACGAAAGGTTTTGCTGGGAATTAGTGATTACTGTCCTAACAGGTTAAAATTTATGAACAACCTCAAAGGCAAGGGAGGTATCTCACGGTCTCAAAAGGCTAGACATTAGTATTTTTTTTCTCTGTTAAACGGAGATTTTTATTTTAACTGAGTATAAGACCTTCTAATTTCAAATTTCTAATTCGATCCTGAGCACACTGTACAGAAAAATGTATTTTTACCTTAAATTCAGTTGATTTCATAAATACATAAAAATGGATTATCCTGGCGATAACTAGCTTACTCAAATATAATCAATATAATTTAATAAATATTCACATTAACTTCCAAGCCCCGATTCATATTCATTCAAAAATTATTTAGACATCCTAACAAATTCCGATTTGTGAACTTCAGGACAGAGTGCAAAGGTGGTTCAGAATCCCCCAAGCACAACAGCAGCTGCTCTACCCCAGCTCACAGCAAATGAACGGAAGTGTGCAGGATTTCACAGGTCCAGAAGAGAATGTTAAGTTTTTAAAACTAATATTCTGATCCCCCTGACTAATGAGATTTAAGGCTACCATTGAATTGTACCACTTAGAAAGCATCCGGCAACATGCACACTTGAACCTTATAGATTTGAAAGGGAAAAAAAAAAAAAAATCCAAACAGAAAATGAAGTTTTTGATGTTGGACCAAAAGTGACACATCCATAATCAGAAACCAAGTATAAATACCACAAGAACTAAAATACTACATTTTAATAAAGTGATGTGATAGGTGATCTAGTAATCTAAAATTACCATGTATGAAAGCTTAATTTCATTTAAAAATTACCACAAAAAAACAAGTACAGGTGTACAGGAACTTAATATGAGATAAAGAAGAGATCTAGTATTAGATCATATTTCTTAGAAGTACATTCTAACTTTAATTTCCAAATCAGGCAACTAAATTAAATATTTTGTTTTCTTTACCCCATGCTACTGTTTGACCTCAAGGGGGTAACACAGGTACCTCAATCAACAATAAGAAATTCCATGCAGGGAGAATGAATGAGGAAAAACAATAGGCTCAATTAGCAAAACAAAACTGCATGTTTTATTTATCAAAGACAATGAAATAAATCAGAAAATACAGAGAAATACAAAAGAAGTTATAAAGTATAACTTATTTTTTCAGAAATGGAAAAATGTCCCTGAATACTTTTAGATGTATTTTTTAGTAGTCAGCATCAAATAATAAACGAGCAACCAATTTTGTATGTTCTATATATCCGTATTAAATGATTTTTAAGTTGAAAAGAGGATATAATTTCCATCATTTTTAATGTTGGCATTCAAAAGCAAAAATATAACTAAAAAGAAAACAGATGAGACATAAAATGATTTGCAAAATGGCAGTAGCTTATGAATGTAGATTCCAGTTGTAATAATGGTCACAGACACACATATTCTTGCAACACACACACACACACACCACACCCCCATATTCCACACGTTTCCATAACTTGAAGACAGATTATTCTGCATATCTCAATTCAAGATAGGATTTTTATAGGTTAATCCTATAATCAAAGCAAGAAGCTACTAGTACAAGTTCTGATTTGCTTCGTTTAACAAACTAAAACCTCTAAAGAAAAAATTATTACAATCATAATTGAAAGATACTTTTATTGGCTTTTTAAAAGACAAATGCAAATGAGAGTATCTTATTCAGAAAATTAACTTTCAAAAACATCTTAAATGAAATAAATAGAACATCTAATACGATCTCTTCCTCCAAGAATCTCTAAGATGGCAATGCTAAAAACCAAGCTTCTCAATTAAGAGTCCCTAAAACTGGCATGTCCCTTAAAAAGAAAAAAAAAAGGAAGATTTTTTTTTTATAAAGGACATGTGGAATACCCACATCTGCTTAAAATTTGTCCTAAAACAAACTATCTTTAACACCCAAATTTTCTCTATATATTAAGTTCACTTAATTTTAAATTAAAAGATATCCAGACAGTTTCTAAAACAATGCAGAAAGTAATTTATGCATGGTTATTTACAGAAAGAATATGCTAAATAATAATGTAAATATCATGTTCACAAATCTGACAAAGCTTTTCTATAATCAGCACTGCAGGTTTCAAAAACCTATATATAACGAAGGATGTTCCATGTGTAGAGTTACTAGATGAATCTAGAAGTCAGAAACTATAAAGCATTTGACATGGTTAATAATTTCATTTTATTATACTAAATGTCAGGTCAAAAGTCAATGGCATTTACATGCTGGAAGACTGTTTTTTACTCAGCTCTTTCAATTATACCAAACACCGATTGACCAAATATGACTGGACTTTACTGATACAACTTTACGGTCTCTTTCAAGTATACGCAAATCTTTTAAATGGGCACGTATGCAAATGTGCAAAACGAATGAAATATAAATATTTAAGAGAATGAACAGAATTGGCCTTTAAGCATAAACCACCCTGCCATTCAATCTTGAAGATCTATCTTTTCTTCACTAATTTGTCTTCTGCTTTTAGTAGTCTTCTATTCTATTAAAGTTGTAGGTTTACAGATGATCTGGAAATTTCACATTGATATAAGAAAAGAATGTCTGGTCGATGTAGTCTAGGGACAAAGAAAGAATTAGTCTTAAAGTATATTAAAATGCAAATATCTAAATGATAGTACAAAAACCCATTTTATAGCAGTAGTACATCAAGTATATAATGCTCTTTTGGTAAAGATGACATAAAACAGCATATATCAGAATATATTCCAACATTTAAGCTTCTATAGAAAACCATCTAGAAAATATGTATATTATAGACTCTTGAAAATGCAAACAAGATAATCACAATACACTCAATGTTATTTCTTGCAAAGACATTTTAGTGGCTAAAGAGAAAACTGACCTCTTCTAGGTAGAGGTAAAAGAACATTCTTTAAAAATGCTGGTTTATTTTTGAGAGAGAAAGGGAGAGCGCGCGTATGCACAAGCGGGAGAGGGGCAGAAAGAGGAGGAGACACAGAATCTGAAGCAGGTTCCAGGCTCCAAGCTGTCAGCACAGAGCCCGATGCAGGACTTGAACCCACGAACTGTGAGATCATGACCTGAGCCTAAGTCAGACACTTAACCAACTGAGCCACCCAGGCGCCCCGAGGTAAAAGAACATTTAAAAGTATACTTTAATATTATCCAGAAATACAACTACATTCACTCTACTCTTCAGCAGAAATAAATTATAATAGATGTAATATATTAGATATAATAGATATAATAATTAGATATAATAGATGTAATATAATAATGTAAAACTCATGTTATAAAGTTTAAGCGCTCAAATAAAAAAACCATACAATTTATTTATAAAAAGGATATTTAGTTATAGTAACTTTGGAACGTTTTGTACTTGTAGGCAGATACAGAAGTTAAGTGTTTTAGCAGACATTTTGCTTATGGAGTTCAAATACTTTAAAAGTTCAAATCAATTATAGACATGAAGTATATGGTGCTTGTTTTAAAAATAGTATAGAGGGAAAAGATATTTGTAAGCCATATGATTCAATAAGGAGTTAATATCCAAAATAAAGAACTCGTATAACTTAATAACTGAAAAACCAAACAATCCAATCAAAAAATAAACAGAGGATCTGAATAGACATTTTTCCAAAGACATACAGATGGCCATCAAGCACACGAAAAAGATGCCCGACATCACTATACATCAGGGAAACGCATATGAAAATCACAATGAGATTATCACCTCACGCCTGTCAGCATGGCTATAATCAAAAAGATAAGAAACAAGTGTTAACAAGGACATGAAGAAAAGGGAAACCTTGTGAGCCGTTGGTGGGAAAGTAAATTAAGGCAACCATGCTGGAAAACAGCATGGAGTTTCTTCAAAAAATTAAAAGTAGAACTACCCTATGATCCAGCAATTCCACTTCTGGCTATCTGTGTGAAGAAAATGAAAAGAGTAATTCAAAAAGATATATGGACCCCTCTGTTAACTGTAGCATTATTTACAATAGCCTAGATATGGAAACTAAGTGCCCATCAATAGATGAATGGATAAAGAAGATGTGGGTGTGTGTGTGTGTGTGTGTGTGTGTGTAAAATGTAATACTACTCAGCCACAAAAAAGATACTGCCATTTGTGACAACATGGATGGACCTTGAGGGTATTATGCTAAGTGAAATAAGTCAAAGAAAGACAAATGCTGCATGATTTCACTTATAAATGCAACCAAAAAACAAACAAACAAACAAACAAACACAATAAAACAACATCCAGACTCATAGATACTGAGAACAGAGTGATGGCTATCAAAGGGGAAGGAGTTATGGAGTGAGGGGGGCAAAATGAGTGAAGCGGATCAAGAGGTACAAACTTCCAGTTACAAAACAAGTAAGTCATGGGGAAGTAATTTACAGCATGGGGAATACAGTCAATAATACTGTATTAACTTTGTATGGTGGCAGATGATAACTAGACTTACTGTGATGACCAGTTCACAAAATATACAAATGTCAAATCACTGTATTATGCACATGAAACTAATACAATATTGTATGTTACCTGTATTTCAATAAAAAAGAATCTATTATAGAAAATAGAGATACAAGGTCCCTTCAGGTGAAGATACTACTGGTTGCACACAGCCTCCAGAAACTCACTGGACAACTAGTAAGAAATCCCTGCTCGTTTCTTTATTCCCGTTTATTCAAGTTGAAGCCTTCATTATTAGTATAAACTGACACACTTCAAGTAAACAATATCAGAGCTCCTATTTTCTTCACACAACTTTTACTCTCCGATCTAGTTTGTTAAGATCAGTGCACAGAAAATTACTTTTCAATCACAAATTTGTTTCTTGTTTTCTTCAACACATGTGTGACTTTCATATTGTTTTATACAAAGTGCCCATCCCTTCTGTGTAAGTGCCTTGTCCTATTTTTTCGACCCTTTAAATTTTGTGCTAATGGTTACATCCTGTGGTTAATCTTTAAAAAAGAAGTGTAAAATGTCTGACTTAAAGTTTGCTTATTCATTATATATTTAAAAAATTGAAATTTCCAAAGAAATTCAATTTTTAAAATCTATTTTAAAAAGTTCACAACTTATTAAATTTTCATTAGTTGATTAACAGTATATCAATATATTAAATATGCTAAATTTAAGCAAACAATATGAGTGCAAACAATATGCATCTGGTGAATATGAATACATGAAGGGAACAGTTAATATGTTAAGATTTCTTACCTCTATAATAAGAAGAAATACCTTGTTCTATGAGCAGCTGCCATACTTTCAGACATGTTTCTGACTTTTAGATAATTAACAAATCCTCTGAAGAAAAGAAGCAGGCCTGAGAGGTTAAAATCACAGATACATTATGTTCTTATACAGAGGGGGTACCACAAATTTAAAATAGACAATTATAAACAAGATCCTCTCAGCTTAAAGAATTTAATCTGTAAAATTCCATTCATTCCATAACCTATTTTAAATTATAATGATAATTCCATCTTAGAAAAATTTAATAAAAGTTTACTGCCTCCCAAAAATTCTTTCAATTTGTTAAGTCCAGATGTATCTAAATTAAAGTAAAGCAAATCCAGCCATGAAAATCCATGTATATATATATATATATATATATATATAAAATATATACATTTATTCCATTTCTTTAAATAGAAAAGCTACCTAATGCATTTAATGTGATTCAACTCACAGAAATCCCATTTTTATATGAAATTTTTCTTTTTTTTGTTTTTAAAGAAATTTCTGGGTTTTTAAGTTTATTTATTTATTTTGAGAGCAAGCAAGAGAGAGGGAGAGAGAGAGAGAATCCCAAAAAGGCTGTCATAGTCAGTACGGAGCCTGATGATACGGGGCTTGAATTCAAGATACATGATGAGATCATGACCTAGCTGAAGTCAGATTGACTGACTGAGCCACTCAGGCACCCCCATATAAAACTTTTCAATTAATACAACTACTAAGCAAACTTAAGACATATTTGCTAATATAAAGTATTCAAGAAGGAATATATGCGTGTAATTTGCTAACAACTGTGGGATAAAACCAAGAAGCCTGTCTAGCAATATCAAGTGCTTGTCATCTGTGAAATCTGTATTTGAAGACATGTGTGTTACATAAATAATTTTAATTATTACTTCTTATTTTCAAGTAATAATAAGACTAATTTATAATACAAATTTACATAAGAAGAATCAGGAAAGACTTATGAAGCAACCACTCTAGTGATTTCTTAAATGATTTGGGATAGATCTTACTATATCTATTTAGTATTCTCTGTAATAGGAATTTTAAATAACAGCCATTTGCTAACAGGTCTCCTTAGTAATTGAAGGAGAGCAAGCATTGCCTGTGAAATGCTTCAAAGTTTCAGATGAAAAATATTAGTTAACCACAAAAAGCATTAGCATTATTAGTAAATTCTCTGATATACTTATTATGCATAGAATTCTAAGGGAAACATTTACTAACTTCAGTAAATATTTAACTAGTAATGGGAGGGGATGCAAAACAAAAACAGAAGATATATATACATATAGCAAATATATACAAATGCAAAGTTCCAAACTAAATTCGTACCCCAAATGCAAGACAGTAACCAAAGTACTAAAAAAGAGCATGGTTGTAATAAACGAAAAAGATAGAAGATACACAAATAATGACTTAAACAAGTGGTATAAATTTCAGCTAAATCTGATCACATCTGCTTCCCATATCCTAACTCCTTCCATTTGTGACTCCCACTCTGAATTCCACCTCATGCTCTTGCAGATGCTGTTCAAAGATAATGCTATTGTGATCCAAATGTAAAAGCATTACTGAATAATGTAAACCAAAATTATTTGTGAAATCCCTTCTTTTGTTTATGAAAACTGCTGTTTCTAAGACATATTTTATTCTGCTCAACCATTTTCTAAAATAAGCCAATTCATACCTAGAAACCAATCAATCATTCAGCAGCTATCATTTCTCAGTGTTCTACAATGTACTCAACATTCTTCTGAGTATATGTGTGAGCAACATTTTCATCATGGATTAAATTTTCGTATTTCCCTAAATGCTAGATAGATTATGGTTCTGATGTGGAAATGAGGTCATCCTCTGCATTCCACTCAGGCCTATAGTTGTCTTCCTAAGGTCCAATCGTTAATAATATATTCAGAAGCAACTATCCTCACCTAATATGCTTAAATATCTAATAGACTATATATTTTTTTCACTGTTAAATAAGTAGCTCAATAACAATCACAGAATTCAGGCAGTCAGAACACAATTAACAATGCAAAAAAACTGCCTAAACCCTCGCAAGAGTCTGGCTCCCTAACAAAATCACAACAGCAGAATAATTTCACTATAATTATTAAATAAAGAATACAGGATCTTTAGTGACCTTATCTGATCGCAAGAATTTGTTTCCATAAAGATCCTAAAGATCCAATAGCAGGACTAAACAAAAACTCAATGAGAACACTGCCACCTACTGAAATGTTATTATTTCCTGGCACAATAATGTTCCTAGAGAAATGTGGGCTTTTAAACTTCAGTATATTCTTCACGCCAGTAAATAAATCTGAAATGTGGATTAAAGGCATCATGTGATTTTAAGATTAACTTACCATACATCTAAAGTGAAAATCACCAGGCAACAAAAATTGGAAATCCATAAAATTCATCAATATTAATAAAAAGACATGCCTTGTAAGAAGAAAACTCAACAGAAGTACTGGGGTCGTTAGGCATGAAGTCTTCTGCCTGGCTGATTAATGATTAATGCAGGGTATGTTTCAAAAGTATAAAGAACGTTTCAATGTTCCAAAAATAAGTAAAATGCATAGAACAACTATCCTACTCTCAACATCTCCTAGGATCGTTAAAAGAAATTATGCATGTATATTTTCCAAGATAAATGCCGAAGACATTTTTTAAAATCATTTTAGGGTGTTCAAGTTTTATATATTTAATTATCATCCAACAACTGATTTCTTAAATCGACAGGCTCTGGATTTTAAATCCAAAATCTAGAGTGCTATGTATAATTACCCAAATAGCTTAGATGATTTAAGTGCTAGGACAGGAGAACTTTACAACAGAAAAATTATTACCACCTAAGTTCCAACACAATGGGTTTACATCTTACAATTTGGGGAAATGTCAAAGTTAAACTAAATGTAAATTAAACTGAAATTTAATTAAGAATAAACTTACCAAGTACAAGAAATATCCACCAAAGCCAATACTGTCCATTGAAATATCCAGTAAAATAATCAGAAAACTATGGAGTGAACATAAATATATTAACCATATTTATGTACCTGAATTTGAAAATGAAAGATCAGCCTCAATTTCAGAATCATGTACCTCAAATAATCTCTAGCACTTAACACAAAGAGAAAAAAAAATGCCTAATACATTATGTAATACATACATAATTACTTAATACATTATGTAATATATACATAGTTACTTGAGGAGAAAAAACTCTTTAAAATCTTTTATACAATAGCTAACAAACTTATACAAAGTATTTTAGAAACAAAAATCAGTTTCAAGATGCTTGTAAGAAAGGAAGGTAAATTCTATGTATCTGAATCCAACTTTCTCATTAAAGAGTTCACATGTCGGTTCTTTCTTCATAATCTCTCAAAGCCACAACTACCATCCCAAACACACTACAGCAACCCGCTGCTTTAGATATTAACACCAAAAGCCACATTAGTTTAATCTTATCAGATGGGGATGTTCGGCTGACCTCTAAAAAGAAGAGCTTTTGACCTTCTGTACACCCCCTACTGTTAATCACTGCCAAGAATACTAGGCACATAAAGACCCCCAACTCATTAGACTCTTTTTATTTTCAAACTAGATGCTCCAGTATTCAGCTCTCAACAGTGAGCTGAGAACAGCTAAATGAACCTTGAAGTGGCATTTCAACAGTTCCTATTAGTGACCACGGTAGACAGTTTTATATGTTCTGTAAAATGAGAATATGAACAGGCAGATGGGAAGGGAGAGTTTGATGACAATGAACACGGCTATCTTTTCCTTGATTAGACTCTGGACGTCATGATTTTAATTACTGAAAAAAAATTTTGTAAAAAGTCAAACTAATTTTCTTCAGAGTTACTTCAGATAATTCTTCTCTATGACCCTTTAGCATTAAACAGTGTTGCAAATAGTTGTTTGTTGAAAGTAATATAACCTAGTCTAAAACTATTGAAAATTACGTTGTTTTATCTACTCTGTTTCCATTGGTCTCCAAACTGAATCTGATTTAACTAAAAATGATTTTATCAAATGGAGACTTGCCCTCAAGTCTGAAATTAAAAGTATCTACCTCCAACTTTTTTTGATAATTATTTCCAACTATCCGTTGGTATTTTCCACAGAAGCAGTTTTAAAAATCCTATAGGTTTGGTAATAACCAAAATGCTTATAAACTGTAATAAAAATATCACTACGGAGGATGCAAATGTACTAAAGATTATCTAAATCTATTTTTAAAACCTTAAATATTTCCATAGGAAGTATTTATAATTAATAAATCAACTATAATCTAAATTCTCAGCTTAGAGTTTCAAAAACTTCAGAGATTAAAATTTTTGTTTTTTTTTTGTTTGTTTGTTTGTTTTTAATTTTTTTTTTCAACGTTTATTTATTTTTGGGACAGAGAGAGACAGAGCATGAACGGGGGAGGGGCAGAGAGAGAGGGAGACACAGAATCGGAAACAGGCTCCAGGCTCCGAGCCACCAGCCCAGAGCCCGACGCGGGGCTCGAACTCACGGACCGCGAGATCGTGACCTGGCTGAAGTCGGACGCTTAACCGACTGAGCCACCCAGGCGCCCCCAGAGATTAAAATTTTTAAAGTGCCATTATAGATGCAAATTCCAGACTCCTACATCATTAAAATAAGTACAAGGGAGAGCTAAAAAAATTAGGAAAACATAGCTTGTAAAGTAGGACTGCACTATATTTTTTAATCAAGTGATTACTAATTATAAATAAAAGATTTTCATATGGGTTTTAGAGTCTATAAGAACGAAAAGAAATAAAGAAGCAAAGCAATACATTTAACTAATATTTAAATATATTGTAGAATATATTTAATAAATAATACTAACAGGCAAGAGACAACCAGAAAGGACATCATCATTCTTCACCAAAAATATTTACCAAAGTTAGTTTTTATTTACTTCTGGGTAAAAAATATAATTACCTTCACCTTGAAATCAAAGAGAGACTTTGTAAAGTCCACTACGTAAAAAGGATAAACTAATAAGCTTTTGAACTCATTACTGAGTGAGCAAAAATGTTTAAGATACCAACAGTCGCAGGGCTGAGCCAAGTTGGGTTTTTTAATGAATAAATCCATCATGTTGACTGGCCAATCACAGGATGCAAAAATCAAATTTTGAAAAATAAATTAACTGACAATAGGAATTTATCTAATTTTATTTTATTAATGTAACACCAGCATTTTATTGTTTACATCCTGTCTACTTTCAAAAAGAGTTGTTAGTTTTTAACAAAACACATATGCATTTTCAAACAAATAATAAAAAGATCAAAAGCCGTAGACAGAAATAATACCAGAATTGGCTAAAGATATTTACATTAAATCTGAGATTCATGGCAACTCAGAAACAAAAAGAAAAGCTGCAGTATGATTTATAAATTACTTATTGTCTAATAAAATAAAACAGGTTTTTAGGAGAAACCCTTTCTCTCAGCACTGAGCTCCACAGGGAATTTATTGTTTGGAGCATTATAATAAAAGTCAAAATGCAGTGTCATAGAGGCAGTACAGAACCAAGAGAACATGCATTGAACTGGGACCAAGCTAGTTTCTAATTCACATACAAACTATGGGATGTGGAGCAAGTTATTAGACTTTTTTTTAATTCTTAGCTTCATCGTCAATATAATGGCTGCATTGTCATGAGCATCACTGATACAGGTAGGGGGTCAAGAATTTCATGTTGGTAACAAATTCTGCTTGGAACATAGTAAGTACTCAATGAATGGCTGCCATTATTACTTTATACAAAAGATCTTTAAAAATCCTTTTCTTGTATCAATTCTCAGTATACACTAAAGGCATGACATTAACCTTAACTCAGTAGCAGTACTTTATTTTTTTTAAAGGCACATTTTATGGTTTTGGGTTTTTTTTTTTTAGTTTATTTTTTTTTTTTTTTAGTAATCTCCACACCTATGTGAAGCTCGAACCCACGACCCTGAGATCAAGAGTCACATGCTCTTCTGACTGAGCCAGTCAGGTACCTTTCAGTAGCGCTATTATAAAGGGAAACTAAACAGTCCTGGTGATCAAACTTGATGCTAGTATATACCTTACAAAGCTTTGAGCACCTCTAGTCTTTGAATTTAAGTTCCCCACCTCATCACATTAACTGGAGTTAATTACTAGATAATCAACCCCCTCCCAACTAGGGCTACTATGGGAGAATTAGGAGCTAATACCCCTAGGGCATAGGTTGCATATAATGGACTAGACTACCTTCTTTTTTATAAATTTAGAATACACAAATTTATTAAGCTTAGGAGAACTGAAAAAACAGTCCTCAAATCATTTTGTGTTCTGTGACTAAGATGAGAAATCCTATTTGAATAACAGTAATTAGTTCTATTACTAATATAACCATAACCAATGGACATAACTAACTTCAACTCTTTTGAGGTTCTCTAGTAGTAACTTCTACATCATCTACTCCTATATCATCTCTTTATATTTGTATGGTCCATAACACCTTAACAGATTTCTGCTCATCGTGGGAATCCACTCCACAACTTTTGAAATGAAATTATAAAAAGAATCTGCCAGGGGGCTATTCTTACAATGGCTCTAGTTTTAATCATCTTAGAATCCATGCAATAAGGTCTCACCCAAGAATCAACTGATTAATAGCCAAAACCTTAATCTGGTCTGAACACAGACAAGGTCTGATAAGATTACTGAAACTCTGGGAGGCAGTAAGTTTAAAAATAAAGCAAAAACACATTAAATCCAGTTTTAATTTTTTAAATCAATTTGATAATATAGGTGCATAACAAGTGTCTGAAGCACGTAAGGGAAGCTGACATTTTACTATGTGACTGTACCGAATATTTTAGGAGCATTTGAGCATTCATTCAATTAGAAATCAATGTTTAAATATGATTTGTTGAAATTACGCATTTTATGAACTGTAGAATAACATTTAAATGTATAGGTTACTTGTAAGAAAACTTATTAAAACAATAAATAAAGGCACTCCTGGTCATTCTCCTAGGCCTTACCCTAAAGAAACCAGGGAAAAGGCTTCATAAAAAGGAGCCAAAGGGGGCCTTCAAAAGGCAAAGAGCTGGGGGAAAGCTATGCTAACAACACTACTGCTGGTGGAATGGACACAGAAAATTATTATGGGAGAAAGAAGAGGACTTGGCATTATCTCCCAACACACCATCTCGTAAGTGATAAGAAGTAGACAGAGGGTGAATCCCAGGAACAACAGAGAAATGAGAAGAAAGGCTGAGAAGGAACACAAAGGAAAAAAGGTGAGTTCTGATAGCCACCTCAGGGGCCTTACTTTACTTTTGAGTTCTTAATGCTACCCCCACCCCCAAAAAGAGTGGGAAAATAACTAAATCCATGACAATTTACTAACTGATAGAAATTTTTATGTTTTGACTGATCACAATAGTCATAGACACAGTTTACTGAGCACATTTGTGCAGCAACTGGGTGAATACTTTAATTCTATCACCTCTAAGACTCACAAAAATCTTGAAAGGCAGCTATTACCAACCCATTATGAGGAAACTAATGCTCAGAAAAATTAAAAATTTAAGGTTAGAACACTGATATAAATAAGACTCAAACTCAATTTTTTCTGTTTTCAAAGCTCTTTCCACGTAGTAAACAAGCTCTCATTTAAAATGTTCATCTCACAGAGATCACTACAATAATAAGAGGTAAGAATAAGTCTCAAAATAATTGAACTCCTAGACATAAAATGAACATTCATGAACCACAGACAGATTTTCATACATTTTAATTTTAGAGATAAGAGTAATAGACACTATCAAAACACTCACCCTAACGATAAGGATCCATTTGATCAATGAAAGTCCAAATCCACATATGGCACCATATCTTCCAGCTATGGTATTGGTGATACAGAAGGATAAACAAAACCCAAGCCAGTTGAAAATAAATGCCACTAAAAGCAAGAGAAGTAAAAAGTTCTTTTAAAGATCACACTTTGGAAACAAATTAACAAAGACATAATATTAACACTACTTTACTGCACAATGGAAATAACACTCCCCTTTCTTTTGACTCTGTACCAATTAAGTCTTCTTTATAGACTGTAGTTTATCTTTTGCAAATGTATTAGTTATTAACTATACATTAACAAACAGGTACGCTTGGTTTCTTGTCAGTTTGGCCAAGAGGAATCAATTCCTTAAAATGTGTCACCACTAGGTTAAACTGCTTTTTTTTTTTTTTTTTAATTTTTTTTCAACGTTTTTTATTTATTTTTGGGACAGAGAGAGACAGAGCATGAACGGGGGAGGGGCAGAGAGAGAGGGAGACACAGAATCGGAAACAGGCTCCAGGCTCTGAGCCATCAGCCCAGAGCCCGACGCGGGGCTCGAACTCACGGACCGCGAGATCGTGACCTGGCTGAAGTCGGACGCTTAACCGACTGCACCACCCAGGCGCCCCATTTTTTTTTTTTTTTTAATTTCAAACTGGATTTTTTAAAAAGCAATATTAAAGATGAGTCACATAAATTATAAAATATTTCCAGAGAAGATACTGTTCATTGCCTCTTCCTCCTACTTAACAAAACCTGTTTTTCCCTCTCCTGAAGAATCCACCTACCTACAAAGTCTTTAGTTTAGGGAAGTCTGGACTCCATACTTAACTCCAAAAGGTGAATCCTGAGTAGTCTGGGGGGAAAAAAAATCACAGGAGGCCAAAACTCCCTGCCAATTTTTTTTTTGAAATAGGATTTCTGAAAACCATTCTTCAGTTCTTAAAAACACATCAAGGAGGTGGAGAATGGAATATAGGTTAAATAAAAGTGGCTCTAAATTAATCACTGTTGAATCTGAGTGATAAATACATAGAAGTTTATTACATTCTTGCCTAGTTTATGAATTTCTACTATGTGTGTGTGTGTGTGTGTGTGTGTGTGTGTGTGTGTGTGTGTGTATACATACTGTGTTTTTTTTTTTAAATACTGCTTTCCCCCAGATGTCTACTTTGGATGTGACACCTGGAACCACTGCAGGGATCTTGCTATCAGCCTGAGGATTAAACTGTAACTCCAAACGGGCTAGAGAATGAAGGAAATCCAGGAGGAGCAGAGCTATAGCACTGATACTTGCTACGGCTGGGATCTGCTTGTTCATGGATTTTCTGTTTTGTGAGATAATCTCCTAACTATTTAAAATAGTTGAATGAGGGTTTTCTATTACTTGTAGCAGAAACCATTCTGACACAGGTCCTTGAGATATAATCAGAGTGCCCTGTGTCCAAGAGAGTAACATTATCAAATAATAACAGTAACAACAGTAAAACCGAAGATCAATTTGAACAGAACTTTGTCCTATTCACTGCCCATCCTCTTACCCCAAATATCTCCACCCAACTCTCAGGGTAAACAAAGTAAATTACCTAGAGAAATGCTGACTTTTTCAGAATTCTGAAGACAGAGAGGAAACATTTTAGGATAAATTTAAATGAAATAGCTATTTCTTCAAAGCAATTTCCCTACTCCTGTAATTTCTTCCTTCCCAATGTCTTCTATAATTTCTTCTTTCTCCAAATGCTTTCCTGATCATTTATGGTAAGCTATGTTATATGGTGCAACAGTCAGGAGAATGAAATTTGAAGTAAGAGACCTGTGTTTGAGTCAAAGTGTACTCACTCACTAGATAAATGACCTTGGACTCACTGCTGACTCTGGTGAGCCACAGTTCTCTGATCTGTAGTACTACTTCACAAGGCTGATAAGGGGATTAAGTGAGATAATCAATTTAAAGAGTTTAACATGGTATAGAATCTGGCACATGGTGATCCCTAAGGAAATGTTAGCCATTATTACTACCCATACAAGATGATCTCTTTACAGAATAGGTTATATCTTTTCAAAAAAAAAAAAAAAAATTCAGGTGACACTACTGGAAATAAAACTTGTTTACACTCCACATTTTCTTTTTTGTAAACCCAGATACTGATCAGTACTTCGCTGTCCTCTGCATCTGTTATCCAGTGCCCCCCAGCCACACTGCTTCTTCCACTTGCTCCAGGAACCTACCCTGCTCTACAAAGCGGGATATTTACACTTCAATTAATTAAAATGACAGGAAATTTAAAATTTAGTCCCTCAGTCACACTAGCCACATGTCAAGTGCGCAATGGTCACATCTGGCTGTAGCTACCATATTGGACAGCAGAGATACAGAATATTTCCAGCATCATAGAATATACTATTAGACATAGCTGTTCTACATCCAATGGGTTAATATTTGTGTTATCTGTGGAGAAACCATGCAACAGCTTTATGTAATATCTTCCTGTCTATTTAAAATAAAGAATTTACATTAATAAATAGCAGTAAAGATTCCCAACCTATGTGCCATACGTGTGCTGTGACTGGCTGAGACAGTTACTCTCCTCCTCCTCAGCGGGTGGGTGAGGTCTGGGGCAGAGGACAGACTGCCAGCAGCCATGAGCAACTTATTACTTTATCCCAGTGATGCCTCAGTCTATCATTTTACAAGCATGTCACATGGTTAAAACACAGGAAGCACTGATGGGGAAAATACAAAACAGCGAAATATTCCAAAAGTGCATTTTCACCTCTGAGCATGTTTAGTTCAGGGGAAAATTCAACATTGTTTTCTTCAAAATCAGATCTACTGGTATCTAGTACACATACCACTGTACCCACACCAGAAATAAGATCCAAAAAACAAAAAAGTACCTATTGAGTCATCATGTTTTCTCTTTCTGCACTCTGCCAGCAGCAGGGATTCCTACAAGCTATGCTCGTGCAATATAACGTATTATGGACTGAACTGTGTCTCCTTAAAACCCTAACTCCCCAGTGTGACTGAATTTAGAGATAGGGCCTTTATGGAGATAATTAAGGATATAAAGGTAGAGCCCTAATCCACTAGGATTGGTGACCTTATAGGAAGAGGAAGAGCACTAAGGGAGCTCTCTCTCCACCCACATGTAGAAAAGAGACCATGTGAGACACAGGAAGACAGCCGTCCACAGCCAAGAAGAGGACCCCTCACCAGAAACCAAATTTTCCAGCACTTTGATCTTGGACTTCAAGCCTCCAGAACTGTGAGAAAATAAATTTCCACTGTTTAAGCCACCCATATGGTGGTATTAGCTCTAAGAGACTAATACATAACTTTATCCATCTGTAATTGATTTAAGCACTAGGAAAAAAACAAAGTTGGTGACTACTTGAGTGTAGACAGATTCACTTTTTAAAAAAAATTTTTGAATGTTTATTTTATTTTTGAGGCAGAGAGAGCACAAGCAGGGTAGGAGCAGAGAGAGGCAAAGACAGAGGATCTATAGAGGGCTCCGTGCTGACAGTAGAAAGCCCGACGCAGGGCTTGAACTCACGAACCACAAGATCGTGACCTGAGCTGAAGTGGGATGCTTAACCAACTGGGCCACCCAGGGGCCCCAACAGATTCACCTTTTATGGGCTTGGCCTATAAGACAGCAAGTAAAGCTGAACAGGTCTTAAAACACAGAAAGGGCAGAAGCATTAAATTCTGAATCCTCTATGACATGTCTGAATTGGCAAAAAAGAAAATAAATGTATGCTAAACCTTAAGTGTGTAAAATCCATAAAAGAAACATGTAGTAGAGGCAGGTGAATGTAATATGCCTAGGGAAAAAGACAGGAACACTTTTCTTTCAGCTTTACTTCATTTGTGCCATGTTTCCTTGGAAACTTAGGACAAAGCTTAAAAGGCATAGGGCACCTAGTCCCCACACAGTCAAGGCCCAACATGGAATCCAAAGAAGGAACAGACTTCCAAAACCTATATTCCTTAGAAAAAATAAAACTGGGGGGAGCAAGCAGCTACAAAGCAGGGCAATTAAGAAAAGTTGGTAAAGAATGCAAAGTGTTGCTCCAATTACACTCTCCACAGTCACATTCACAGTGCCCTTCTTTGTATGAAAGTGAGTCAGACAGGTTAATGACATTTGAAAGAAGGCTGCCAATCAGTTTAAATCATGTAAAAGGTGAATTCTCAATTAAGGATGTGGAAGGAGAACATTACTACAAACTACCTTCACCCAACAGCACTCTATAATTTATGACATTTCACATATTTTAACTTATTTGATCTTCTCATTAGCCTTTTAAGAAGGGCAAAGTCAGAATTAATTCCATTCTACAGAAGGACAAATTGAGACCTAGAACAGCAAAGTGCCACATAAACTCACAAAGCAAGTAAGAGGTATAGGTAGGATAGGCACATCCAAGCCTTTCATGTCTTCTATGCAGTGATCTCTTTCTTACATATACCTCCCATCTACAGAAAAGAGGGTAGCAGAACAGCCTAGAAAGCAATATTGTACACTACAGTTATCCATTAATAAGACTTTACTTTTAAATTTTCAAAAGCCACAAGACACTTATTAATTACAAAAGGAAAAAATAGTGAAGAAAGCTAGCAGACACCACCTTAACCTGGTGAGAACTGACATCACCAGTAAAAAGACATAACTGGATCACTGCCTCCTGATACGATGCACTGAGAAGGACACATCGTATCTACGGTATTTGTGTAGCAACTGGGCGAATGCTTTAATCATATCACTTCTAAGCCTCACAAAAATCATGAAAGGCAGCTGTTACCAGCTCATTATGAAGAAACTAATGCTCAAAATTATTTAAAATTTAAAGTTAGAACACTGATATAAGTAAGACCCAAACTCGATTTTTTGTTTTCAAAGCTCTTTCCATGTAGGAACAGGCTCTCATTTAGTAAAGTTACAAAATGTTCACACCACAGAGATCACTACAGTAAGTATAAAAGGTAGGAATAAACCCTAGAAGTAAAGTTTTCTAAACAGAGTCCATTCCATTTTTAAGTACTAGAGTTCAAGGTCATTTCCAGACTATCAATTATCCAATGAATTCAATCTTAATTTCTAGCTTTTAACTAACAACTGACTTTCACTCCATTGTCTTAAGAAGTCTGTTAAACAAGCAAGTTAGGCATGTATGAGACATTTTGCTGTGACACTTCAAGGGATTATGAAAAGCAAAAATTATCAAGGGATACATACATTTCTTTCTCTACATTTTCTGAACATAAACATGCAATTATTTTACAAATTTATGTGTAACCTTTTTTTAGGATTACATATGGTAAGAGACTGAAAAATGGATGTTGAAACAGAATAGGCAAGAATTAAGCCACCAAAGAGTTTTAACTGAAATATTCTTACTGATATTCACCGTAGTTTGTATTCACACAACTTTTATTACCTGAAATGCTTAAGCTATAAACCATATTAAAGAAAATCTATTTCTGACAACCAATAAGTGTTGGTGAGGATGTGGAAAAAAAGGAACCATCACACACTGCTGGTAGGAATGCAAACTGGTGCAGCCACTGTAGAAAACTCTATGGAAGTCCCTCAGAAAGTTAGAACTGAAGTATCCTATGATCCAGTAATCACACTACTGAGTATGTACCCAAAGAATATAAAAACACTAATTCAATAGGATATATGCTACCCTATGTTTACTTCAGCATTATTTACAATAGCCAAATTATGAAAACAGCCCAAGTGTCTACCGATAGATGAATGAAGAAGATGTGATGTGTATACACACACACACACACACACACACACACACACACACACACACACACAGAGTAATATTATTCAGCCATTAAAAAAAAATGAAATCTCGGGGCACCTGGGTGGCTCAGTCAGTTGAATGTTCGACTTCGCCTCAGGTCATGATCTCACAGTTTATGGGTTTGAGCCCTGCCCTGCATTGGGCTCTGTGACAACAGCTCAGAGCCTGAAGCCTGCTTCGGATTCTGTGTCTTCTTCACTCTCTGCCCCTCCCATGCTTGCACTCTCTCTGTTTCTCAAAACTGAATAAACGTAAAAAAAAAAAAAAAAACTAAAAAAAAAAAAAAAAAAGAAATATTGCCATTTGCAACAACAAGGATGAAGCTAGAGAGTATAATGCTAGGTGAAATAAGTCAGAGAAAGACAAATATCATATGATTACGCTCATGTGGAATTTAGGAAACAAAGGCAAGCAAACAAAAAAAAAAAGAGAAAAACAAACCAAGAAACAGACACTTAACTATAGAGAACAAGCTGATGGTTACCAGACAGGAGGCGGTGGGGGAGGGGAATGGGTGAAATAAGTGATGGGGATTAAAGAAGATACTTATGATGAATACTGAAAATGTACAGAACTGCTGAATCACTAAATTGTACACTTGAAACTATTATAACACTATGTATGTTAACTGTACTGAAATTAAAATGAAAAATTTTTTTAAATTAAAAAAAATCTATTTCTGAACCAAAGAAATAGAAAATAGAAGAGAATCTAGACAATAGCTACTATTAGATAGTGGAAGCATGAAAAATATACCAAGTTGCAATTTGAAGAACAGCCACTAGGTGGCAGTGATTACAAATAAATCTATGCCCATCAAAGCAAATAAACTCAAACACTGGCCTACAGTTTACCACAAAAAAATATATTAGGAAATGAAGTCTGAAAATAATATATATTTTTACTCTTATAATATTGGTGCAGTACTTATAGAATGGGATGCATAAAAAATAAGGTGTAGAGGCATTAGTAAAAATGCAGTAAAAGTAGGTGATTTACACTAAATATATTAAATATATTTATATTAAATTATATACCACCACAGGCCAAATAAGGTCAACCACGTGTCTAGGTTACCAAACACAACACTGTTTAATCAAGAAAAATGTTTTCAAATCTAAAAAAAAATACAGGTTAAAAAGACAGCAGGGTTAAGTGAAATCGAGAAATAGAGAAATAATCACTAAGCTCTGAGTCAAATAACTAGGTGGTATTAAATCACATTTTTATTCCTAAGAAACAAGTCTTTATACTAAAAATAGCCCAATTAATTTAAATTCTCTTTTCCAATTAAGATTTTTAAAAGCTATAACCATTAGAGGAATTAATATTTATGCTCTTAGCAAAATATGTGGAAGACTTGATAATAAAGGCTTACTAGTTAAACTGAAACTAAGAAAAAAGCCAGTTTACTAGACTGACAGCACAAGACAGTAGTTATCTGTAGCCAAAGTGTTCCTTTCTACTATACCCAACATTGTATCTAATTACAAACTTTAACTAAAACCACAAGATTTAAATATTGCATATACATTAGCTGGCTGCGAAGCAGAACATAAGGTACTAAATTTGAAGAGAAAACGTAACTATCTTCCCACTAACCTACCATTTCTGAGTGGTTATCTACTTCTATTCTTCAGCAGGTGAAATGAAAGCAAGCAAGGAAGAAACCATTTCAAAATGGAGGATTAGTGATTTCCCAGACTCAAAAGTAACTCAAGAAGAATTTTCTATTTTTAAATTTGAATGTAATACTTTAAATAAGTAAAATATTCCTCAGTTTTATTATCAAAATAAACATTATACTTAAAATGAATGAAATATGCATTCTGTGAAAGCTTGGTCATTTAACCAGGTTGAGGGCAGAAATTCACCATATCCTAGTCTAAGAAACTTACTTACATGAATATTGGGTTTCTAAAACTTGATTTTAGCAATTAAACAATTCAAGTGTCATAATATTATGTACTGAGTATACTATATGCCAATCCGTGTATTAGGAATTTAAATACTAAGACTATAACACAGTCTTCCCTCAAAGCATAAAGCATACTTTATAAGTTCAGATATTAAACTAAGAATTCTGCAACATGTTAAAAAAAAAATCTTACTTAGGTTTCTGGTCTTCTAATCACTTACCATTCCCCCAAAGAAGACATACTTGCCTTCTTTTGTGTCTCAAATCACATTATTCCAGTTGCCCAAAATATTTCCTTTTCCAACCCTTCTTTCGTGCCTTATAAAGACGCTCAAATGCAAGTCCTTTGCCCCAAAAGCAGAAGTTAATAGTTTCATTCTGCCTGGTCCTACATCACTGCATGGACATGCAACATTTTTCATGCAAAAACATATTTAGCTTAAATATGCTTATATAACTCCATACAGTCAGTATCTAGCATAATGATTGCAATACACAGTTGTGTTTAATAAATTCTAGGATTTTTATGGTCTCACATGATCACATATCAGAAACAATTTATATTTTACACTAATTAGATACACTTTAACAATATTTGCCTTTCTTCACTATCTATGTTACTTTAAATACACATGTAGCCAGTATACCCAAAGAAACAATGTGGAAATGAAAAATCACTTACTGAAAAACGCCAGCATAAAAATTCCATCATTACCCACTCGGAGCTGGTCTGCATCACTAAAGTCATCTCTTGGTTGACACTCTTCCTCCTGAATCTGTAAAACATGTAACATTAGACTAGCACACTAAAAACTAATTACAACTTTATTATCTTAAGTATAAAGATAAAAAATTAAATAAAATCAAATGTCCTCAATTTGTTGTATAGACAAAACGATACAGAGAATACAATATCTGGCACAAAGTAATCAAAAACATTAGCAAGAATTAATTTTTCATGGGCACCCTTAAAAAGGGTTAAACAAAAAAGATAAAAACTAAATACTGGATTAATGAAAATGATTATCAAGAAAGATGTGACTGACACTGTGCATTTGCATCCAATGGGAAAGAGGAATTTTCATGATCATTGGTGGAGTCTAAATTATATGACCTCTATGGCTGGCAACTTGGCAATATTTATCAAAAATAAAAATGTAACCTACAACTATATGGTCAATTAATCTTCAACAAAACAGGAAAGAATATCCAGTGGCAAAAAGACAGTCTCTTTAACAAATGCTGTTGGGAAAACTGGACAGCAACATGCAGAAGAATGAAACTGGACCACTTTCCTATACCATACACAACAATAATTCAAAATGGATGAAAGACCTAAATATGAGACCCAAAATCATTAAGATCCTAGAGGAAAATCCAGGCAGTAACCTGTTGGACATTAGCCGTAGCAACTTCTTACTAGATACATCTCTCCGGAGGCAAGGGAAACAAAAGAGAAAATAAACTATCGGGACTTGATCAAAATAAAAAGCTTCTGGGGCACCTGGGTGGCTCAGTCGGTTAAGCATCTGATGTCGGCTCAGGTCATGATCTCACAGTTCATGAGTTCGAGCCCCAGGTAAGGCTCTGTGCTGACAGCTCAGAGCCTGGAGCCTGTTTCGAATTCTGTGTCTCCCTCTCTCTGCCCCTCCCCCACTCATATTCTGTCTCTCTCTCAAAAATAAACATTAAAAAAAATTTTTTTAAGTAAGTAAATAGGGGCGGCTAGGTGGCTCAGTCAGTTTAGCATCCCACTTCGGCTCGGGTCATGATCTCGTGGCTCATAAGTTCAAGCCCCACATCCAGCTCTGTGCTGACAGCTTGGAGCCTGAAGCCTGCTTCGGATTCTGTGTCTCCCTCCCTCTCCCCCTCTCCCCTGCTTGTGCGCTCTCTCTCTCTCAAAAATAAATAAGTAAATAAATAAATAAACAAACAAACAGCTTCTGCACAGTGAAGGAAACAAAACTAAAAGGCAAACTATGGAATGGAGAAGATATTTGCAAATGACATATCTAAAAAAGGATTAGTATCCAAAATGTATGAAGAACTTATAAAACTCAATACCCAAAAAATGAATAATCCAATTAAAAGGTGGGCAGAAGGCATGAATAGATTTTTTTCCAAAGAAGACATCTAGATGGCCAACAGACACAAGAAAATACTCACCATACTTCATCATCAGGGAAATGCAAATGAAAACTACAATGAGATACCACCTCACACCTGTCAGAATGGCTAAAATCAAAAACACAAGAAACAACAGGTGTTGGTGAGGATGTGGAGAAAACAGAACCCTCCTGCAGTGTTGGTGGAATGTAAACTGGTGCAGCTACTCCGGAAAACAGAATGGAGGAAGGTTCCTCAAAAAGTTAAAACAGAAATAACTCTATGATCCAGCAACTGCCCTGCTAGGTATTTACCCAAAGAATACAAATATACTACTTCAAAGGGAGACACGCACCTCAGTGTAGCATTATCTACAAGAGCCATATTATGAAAACAGCCCAAGCGTCTGCTGATTGATGAATGGATAAAGAAGACATGGTACATACATACAATGAAATATTACTTGGCCATAAAAAAGAATGAAACCTTGCCATTTGCAATGATGTGGATGTGATGTGGAGCTAAAGACAGTATTTTGCTAAGCGAAGTCAGTCCGTCAAAAACAAATACCACGTGATTTCACATATGTGAAATTTAAGAAACAAAACAAAGGATCATAGGGAGAAAGAGAGAAACCAAGAAACAGACTTAACTATAGAGAACTGATGGTTACCAGAGGGGCAGGGGATGGGTCAAAAAGGCGATAGGGATCAAGGACTGCACTTGTTGTGATGAGCACTGGGTGTCACTAAACTGTACACCTGAAACTAATATCACACTGTATGTTAACTGGAACTGAAATAAAAACTCTTAAAAAGGAAAAAAAAAAATTTACCCACACACCCTTTGACCCAGCATTCCAGTTCTTGAAATACTCTGTACAAATTTACTTCTTATATTCCCACTTACAAGAAATCATGTATTAAAGATAATTTGTTGCAGCAACGTTAATAAGAGCAAAAGATCAGATACAATCTAAACGCCCACCAACAGTGGACTCTTGTCAGGAGACAATTCTTGATGAGTCCTTCATGTTTCTGATTGTCTTCCAGGTGGAGGCAATGGCTGCCCTTCTTCTGTACTATCTTTTCAAGGATGTTTATATTGCAGACGGCTTTGGAAGAGAGAGCGTGTCACTCCCTAGGGCAGAGATGTGGGCATGTTTAGTGACCATTAAAAATACATTGGGTTCACTAAACTCAAGGTTCCACACTGTGTGTGGAAACATTACTTGGTCCTCTTTGTGTTTCTTAGTGGGAACTGAGGCTCAGGAGACTGGTCAAGAAAATGCTAATATATTCATGGCAGTCTCACTACATACACTGCCAAAAGAAAAAGACTTTCAGAACCATATTGCTCATTATTTGGGCCAAAATATCCCTCAAGTACTCTGCAATCATATATCGTAGAAAATTCAGTGATTGGCAATGACTAAATACACAATAAGATTTTGTATAATTGCAAGTTAATTCAAGAAATAAGCATTAAAACCCAGTGTAAGCCCCTCCAAACCAGTCAGTATGATAGCAAGAATATAAACATTTCATATTTTTTCTAAATATCAGTCCAGATATTTTTATCACACATCATTTGTAAAAAGAAAACACATATGCAAAGATATCTTTTACGACATTAACAATGTAAAACATACACACATCAACACACATTTCAAAATAATCTGATAACTTTACCAGAGAGGAATGACCACTAAATTACAGTAGCATAATTGATTCCATGGAATTTCACTCAACCATTAAAATAACAGAGAAACATTTATATAAAATGCTTAAAAAATAAAAGAAACTCTGTGATAATTTCAACATTAAACACAGCTTTATAAATCCCAAAACTGGTAAAAGACACCAATATATTTTAAAATGAAAAGCTGTAAGAGAACAAGTGTGGTATTTTCTTCTTCCTAATTTCTTTCTCTTCATTGCTAATTTTTTAAAAGTATTCAACTTAATAAACTGTAATTTATTAAATACCAAGTATGTGCCAGATAATAGTGAGGTGCTAGAAATGTAACCACAAGGTCCTTGTCCTGGAGTGGCTCACAATTTATAAAGTGTTAGTTTTTGTGTCAAAAGACAAGTTACTGACAAACTTTAAAATAAGGTACAAAAAAACAAACACTGCTCACTATTAGGTTGTAAGATAAGACTACCTGGTGAATAAGCCATGTTCTAAAAGCTTTTCCTCACAGAGAGCAAGACAAGGCTTGCTTCTTTCTTTGGAGAGTTCTACCCTACTGTGTGCAAGTTAGGGCAATAGAGGTCCCAAACTTGCTTAACATCCTTTTAAGGACCTCTGCCATTTCCAAGGTCTCTAGAGAGACACTCCCTGAGAAAGAGTCCTTCTGGTTCACGGAGAGTGCATGCATGTATACAATGCATGGACAACCACGTATGTGCCAGGCAACCTAGAGTTGATTTTGATAGAAACTCCACACTCTATACAGATCTATGCTCCTTCTCTATGATTCTCTCCTCCAAGCATCAAAAAACCCTTATTGACTGAGCTGTATTTATGCCACGGTCTTAACAAAGACTTGCTTTCCCCCTCAGAGGGAAAAGGCATAAATAATAAATTTGAGGCTTGCTGTTTTTACTTATGTGCCCAAAGCTATTTATGTTGACATTTAACTCTGTGTGTTGGAGTACAAGAGTGGGAGCAGGCATGGAAAGTGCTGTACTGATAAAAGAAACCCATCCAGGAGAAAACACTCACCTATCAAATACACTACTTGCTGGGCTCTGGCCTGATGGCAGGAGAACGCTGTGCACAAAAACTCCTTTCTCTCCCTTTATCCCTCACCTCATTCTAGCTTTCTGTGTAAACATAAGTTTGGGTGTCTTTTCCTGAAAAAAAAATGGGATGAATCTAGGACTCTGAAATGGTACTCATCTCTAACGTCTAAAGCAAGAAAAAAGGGCAACAAACTCTAGCCCGGCTTGCAGCCATGCTGAAATGAAATAACTTCCATCTTTTACTGGACTGTAAAATAGCACACATGCATCTTGTTGACTGTCCACTACTGAGATAGTCATTCCTTTACCAGAACAAGAAGTAGCATCCATATGTATCACTGGCTCTCCTACTGAGACAGTAAGGGGAGAAGGGGCAGGTGGAATCCTTGACCATCATTCTAAACTTCTAGTGTGGGATGTGTTAAAACGCCAAAAAATATTAAAAAGTTAGTTGACAAACATAATTTGGAGGCCTTGTAATGTTATTTCTCTGTGTTTTTTAACCTACACAGAGTTCATTCAGAGTCACTAGACTGGCTATACTAATATACACAATTGAGTAGGGGAAAAAAAGATGCTTTATGATTGTAGTTAAGGACCACAAAATCCAAATTATATAAAGAAGGAAATAAGGATATCAACAGTGAAGAGGTCAATGGGATGCAGTAACTAGAGTGAGGGGGGTAAAAGTCAGCACGTGAGGGAAGACAAATCAAGACTTAGGAAACATATTGGTAAAGATAAGGACTAGGATGTCCACAAACTAAGATGGAGTGTAGGAGGAAGACTGATATAGAAATAAACAGAAACAGAAACGGTGGAGAAGGTGGATTTAACTAGGAGAGTGCCAATTTCACCATAGCATGACAACACACATAAGTAGTAGTAGAGAAAATACTAAAAAACAATCTACATGCACAAACACTCTTAGAGAACTATTTCTGACATTACTGAATGTACTCAGAATTACTAGACGATATTCTCAAAAGGAAGCAATCAGATCGCCTTACTCTCTGAGCTGTTTCTGCTGCTGCAGCCGCCATGGCAGCAGCCTTGGCCTTCTCGGCTTCATCGTATGTAGGAAGGGAGGTAGCGACACTGTAGGGAGGTGGCACGGGATAAAACTCACTATAAACTTCTGAATCTGAAGAAAGGGATTAAAAAAGGACAACCATTAAAACAAACTATTTAATAAAATTTTTATAGTCAAAAACATAATTTAATAATTTACAACAGGCTACTAAAGACTATTACTGCTATTTGTAGTCTTATTTTATAAAGCTAGGTAGTATGTAAGTTACTAATTCAATCCTATGTGTTAGTTTAGTCCCGTATCTATTATAAAGGGAAAAGACTCATAAATATCATCTAAAGGCTGTTACAAAAAACAAAAATATCAAGAATGAAATCTGAAAATCTGTGCAAGACAAGGGAGGTGAGAAAGTCATCACATATGAGCATCCATTCTACCTACTGCTATGCTCAAAGAATTTAATTTACTTGCTCATAATCTCATAGCCTAAAAGTAGAAGTATCAGGAATAATAACACTTGTATAGTACTCATTATTTAATACGCCACTTCTATAGACGTTAATCCTAGCAACTCTCAAGTTCAGAAAACTTAAGGAATTTGCCCAGTATTACACAACCAACAAGTGGCAGAGTCCAGGGATTTCCTAATTACCAATATTTGCTCTCATAACATGTGAGGTTCATTTTTTTTACATGTCAGTTTTAGCAACTGTCCAAATCTCTTCAGCAAACTCAACATTTCTCTTTCCTAAAAAAGACTGGTGATTTTTAGTTCTTTTTTACTCCTCTCCCCCTCTTCTCATTTTTTTCCATATCTACCTAGTTTTTCAGAGTTTCTTTTTATGAAGAATTTTTCCCTCCCCAATTTTTAGATGATTTTTAAAATATGATCTTCAGAAATATAACACAATAGCAAGGGGAAAGTGCTAATTTTACTTTTTTTTTAAGTTTATTTATCTATTTGGAGAGTGACAGAGACAGAGCAAGTTGGGAAGGGAGCGGAGAGAGAGAGAAGGAGAATCCCAAGCAGACTCCACACTGCCAGCACAGAACCTGATGCGGGGCTCGAACTCACGAACCTGTGCGATCATGACCTGAGCTGAAACCAAGAGTTGGACGCTTAAGCAAATGAGCCACCCAGGAGCCCCAAAGAGTGCTAATTTAGAAAAAAAACCTGCATCACTTATCACCAACTTCAGCAGTACAGGTAAAGCGATACGTACAGGTTGATATACTGATTAGACTCATGCTAGCATCACTGCCAAGAAAATCAGACTCTCAAAGTTGTCCACACCCCAATGTCTGACATCACTTTCATTATTTCCTCGATTATAAATACAGCATTTGCACATTTTCTATATCAGTTTATAATTTTCTCTATCAGAATTTCTTGCATTTCCACATGAAAACACATTTCACTCTAGCAATTCTTTTCCTTTTGTATTTTAATGTATACTGGTTTTAAAAGAAGTTTTTTAAATGCTATCAATAAGAGCTAAGGATATGAAGCTAGGCAATTTTTAATCCAATGACAGGTAATGCTAGTAGCAGCAGAACACTGAGTACCACCAAAATGGTACAAGGCTCATAAATCCTTAGAAATGACTTCTTATTCAGATGTAAAAACACCACACACAGTCAGGAAAATAGATTTCTTTAGTTCTGAAGCCTCGAATAGAAGCAAAATTTAAGTGAAAGCAATGGTTATAAATTTTAAGGCAGTAACATTAAAATTATAAATTTAAAAACCGGAACAATGACATACATTACCCAAAAGGATGAGATCTTTTACATTAACAACAGATATGTAATTTTTGAAAAGTTTTAACTCCCGTGAAAGGCAAAATGAAACTAACAAATGCAATGCAAACTGGGAAAAAGCACTGCTATAGTTTTAACTTTCACTGGTTAATTTTACTTATTTTTTATCTACCCTTTAAGGCAGCAGTTCTCAACCAGAAAATTTAAAGTCTGGGGAGCTCCAATCCTAGCTGCTCGTCTTAAGCTGTGTGACCTCAAGCAAATCACTTAAGCACTTTATGAAGCTCTACTTTCTCATCCATAAAACCGACTCAGCAAGGCTGTTACTTGCTGTTATATGACAGGATTTAAGAGTAGTCAAGAGGACTCTGTAAACTGTAAAGCATTATACAAATGTCAACTATTATTATTGATGGTGCTCAGATCTATAAAACCAGTCATAAAGTGACCTACTGAAGAACATAATCTCCACAGAAAACTGGTACTGTCCATGCTTAAAATTTAACAGTAAAAGGCTGAAGAAAAACACTATTGATGTTTTTCATTAAAGAGAAGCAAACTTCTAGAATTACTCAGTTCTTGTGTTCAATTACAGTCATGAATGGCCTTTTAGTACAAGTGTAAAAATAAGGCCAGTAGTCACACAGATTATAAGAATAACTGAATACCTAGGTAGCAAGGACAACCTGTCTTACAATGGAAATTTATCCAATCTCTAAAAATGACATGATCTGTGTGGCACCTGGGTGGCTTAGCTGGTTAAGCATCTAACTCTTAATTTTGGCTCAGGTCATGATCTCATGGTTGTGAGATCAAGCCCCATGTCAGGCTCCACACTAAGTGTGAAGCCTGCTTGGGATTCTCTCTCTCTCTCTCTCTCTCTCTCTCTCTCTCTCTCTGCCCCTTTCCCACTAACACTGTTTCTCTCTCAAAATACATAAAAATTAAAAAAAAAAATGACATGCTCCATTATCAAAACTATTCTAGAGCATAGAAGAATGAGAAGCTTCTCAATTCATGCTATGTTGCTTCCATACATAGTATTAATACTAAAACCACAAAGACAGTACAAGGGTTAAAGATCCCACTAATAAAATTGCAAAACTTTTGGGAAAAAAAACATTAACAAATATAAATCCAGAATGGATTAGAATATGGTAACAATTTAGTCTATGAATGCAGAAATGAATTGGCTTAAAAAGAAATCTAGTAATAACATATTTCATTATGTCAAAAATTAAAGGAGAAAAAAACATAATTCTGTGATAAAGACCCAAAAAGATGACTTCAAGGTTTCTGGCCTAGTGGAGCCATTTACCAAAGTGAAGACAACTGACAAGGAAAAGGTTCAGTGATGGAGGAAGAAGCCATTGACAGTTTTAAAGGTACTGAAACCTCCTTTATTCTTTCAAACTCTTCCCATCAAGAGGTGGAGACTAATTGTCTTGAATAAAGACTAACCCCAGATATTCACTTCTAACAAATCAAATGTGGCAGATGTGACACTGTGTGACTTGAGTGGTAATGCCACAACAGGTGACACAGATTCTATCTGGCTTGTTCTTGGAACTCAGCCTCCATTCAGTGAGGAAGCCCAGGCCACAAGAGGTCACGTACAGGTGTTCTGGCCAACAGTCTCAGCGGAGGCCCCAGCGGAAGCTTGCATCAGCTGCCAAATATGTAAATAAGGAAGCCTCAAGATGACTCCAGCTCCAGGTCACAAAAGATAATAATAACATGAGATCCTGGGAGACAATCACACAACTGAGTCTAGCCCACCCCAAAAACCATGAGAACTGATAACACTAAATGACTGCTACTTTACTGTTTGTTTTATGGTAGCTTGTTATACAGCCAGGCAATGGTGGCCACAAGAAAAAAACCTGTAATTTCAATCTTAGCATTGTCCATCATTCAAACACAGGCAAAGCATCAGGAAAATAACTCCTTTTCTTTCTTCAAGACTACCATCAAATAGATTTATTTTTCTTTTACCTAGACTAGAATAGCAAATTAACTGCACTATATTCTGGAAACTCGTAGAATAATGGAAAAAAAAATTAGCACAAAATAAATTTTAGCTAGCACCAATCCAGCTGTTAAATCCTATGGCCAAAGACAAATAAAACTGATATAATTCAATATAAAAACTGTCCATCAAACTGAGCACTAAACAAGCACATTGATCAAATAAACATTATATACAAATAAAAGGAGTAAGCATTTACTAAATTAGTGAGAATACCTTCGTAAGAAAATCATTTTCAGCAATTGCATAAAATTGTAAATGGAAAAAGTAAATGGTATGATCTTTTTACACACCCATATGGTCTAGATAAAATTTGTAGAAGCAGAAATGGTAACAAGATAAGGTTGGCAGAAGTTTGAGAAGTATTGATATTGATTACAGGATAAGAGATAAAAAAGATGAATACTCTAGTGAAGGGTCTTCTAATATTAAAATGTTTCTTATAATAGATTTAAAAAGTGTTTCCTAAAGAATACATAAAATACGTAGAGGTTATTTACAATCGTATACAAAAGCACATTTAAAAATTTAAATATTTATTTTTGAGAGAGTGCAAGCAGGGGAGGGGCAGAGAAAGAAGAGGATAAAGGATCCAAGCAAGCTCTGCACTGACAGCAGGGAGCTCCACACGGGGCTCGAACTCACAAACTGTGAGATCATGACCTGAGCCAAAGTTGGACGCTCAACCAACTGAGCTACCCAGACGCCCCTAAACTTTTTTCAATTATATAATGATTAACTCCAAGAAACAACAAATGTTTGCAAGGATGTGCAGAAAAATAAACTCTCATGCACTGCTATGGGAATGCAAACTGGTGCAGCCACTGTGAAAAACAGTATGGAAGTTTAAAAAGTCAAAAATAGGGGGTGCCCAGGTGGCTCAGTCGGTTAAGAGTCTAACCTCAGCTCAGGTCATGATCTCACCATTCATGGGTTTGAGCCCTGCGTCGGGCTCTGTGCTGACAGCTCAGAGCCTGGAGCCTGCTTCCGATTCTGTGTCTCCGTCTCTCTCTGTCCCTTCCCAACTCTCACGCGTGCTCTCTCACTTTCTAACAACTAAATAAACATTAAAAAAAAATTTTTAAAGTCAAAAATAGAACTACCCTATGATCAAGTAATCGCACACTACTGGGTATTTACCCAAAGAACATGAAAACATTAATTTGAAAGGATATGTGCGTCCCTATATTTATTGTAGCACTATTTACAATAGCCAAATAGCCAAATTATGGAAGAAGTCCTAGTGTCCACTGGTAGATGAAAGGATACAAAAGATATGGTGTGTATGTATATAGTGGAGTATTATTCAGCTTTTTTAAAAAAGAATGAAATCTTGCCATTTGCAACAACATGGATGGAGCTAGAGAGTATAATGCTAAGTGAAGTAAGTCAGGGAAACACAAATACCATATGACTTTACTCATATGTGGAATTTAAGAAACAAAACAAATGAGCAAAGGAAAGAAAACAGAGACAAACCAAAAATGAGACTATGAGACTATTAACCATAGACAACAAACAAATGGTTATCGGAAGGACGTGAGTAAAGGGATGAGTGAAATAGGTGAAGGGGATTAAGAGTACACTTATGATGAGCACTGAAATGTACAGAACTGCTAAATTATTGTACACCTGAAACTAATATAACACTGTATGTTAACTGTACTGGAATAAAAGTAAAGAATAAAAAATAAATTATATAATGATTAGCTTAGCATTCCTGGGAAAATACAAATTGTGGCCGGAGAAACTGAGGAGGGTATTTCTTTAGAATGACCTGAAAAGATAAGATGAACAGTAAGAAGCCAGAACCACTGTCGTATGTCCAGGAATTACTACCATATGTATGTGATAACATTATGTACACCCTTCACCTCCGTTCACACATACCACATTCCTGCTCACACTCAGCATCAATAATACCTTGTTTTACAACTATGTAAGTAGATATACACAAACACAAATATCTAAAAATATGTCGTGTATATACAATGTATTTATTTCTTCCAAAAGCAATATGCTACTCTGTTGGAAATAGTAATAAGCATAAGCAAGTTTATACTTACAATTTTTTTTGAAAACAACAAGAATATGAGGCAAGTAATATATGAGTAAACATTTCACAAATTATCCTTGGGAAAACCTTTTTTTAAAAAATCATAAAACCAGGAAGCCTCTTAACAGACTCGATAATTACACAAAACCATACTGGTTAAAAAAAAAAAAAAGGAGATATTAAAAATATTACTTGTCGTTTCAAACTAGAAACAATACCTGAAGTTGTAGGTACTTCCACAGTAATACTGCTATAAGGTGGAGGAGAAGAGTCAGTTTCAAGTACTGATGCAGAAGGAGCAGTCTGCGGTGTTGAGTTTGAAGTCGATGGTTGCTCTACAGCAGATGACTCTGAATTATCCTCTTCATTGTGAAGCTAAGAGAACAAGGAAAAAGAAAACAATAATGTAATTCTCATTATTATTTTTAAAAAATTTAAGCTGATTTTCAAAGACTGTTTTAGGCAAAGGATCACTTTTTAGCTAAAAACAAAGAAAAATAGCATTTAAAAAGATGAACAAAATTTGTAAGAGACCTAAGCAGTCATTAAAAAATTGTATTTTTGGTAGTTTCTCTACAATAAAATTGAGGTTCAAATTAAGCACTTGTAAAGAAAAAAAATCATGACTAAAATACATTCAAATCCATTCAATCCTACAGTTAATTATCATCTACCATGTATTAATCGCTACAAAGAAAACAACTAATACAACCACAATACCATTTCTATTACACTAGCATCTAGGATAACTGAAATGTAACCTGAATTAATAAAATGAAATAATAATATATAAACATTTCAAAAATACAGAATACTCTAAGGAGGTCTTCTCAAGTACCAGAAGAATTACTTATCAAGCAAGATGAATCAATGTGTATATAAAATCTTGGAAGACGCTCTTCAACACAACAAACGGACTGAAAGCTCAGAATTGCAAAATAATACGCTGGATCTGTATTTAACTCATTTAATCCTCACCACATATCTATGAAATAGTATTATCCCCATTTGACAGATTAAAATGGGGGAAAGGGAACAACCCTGAAAGGGCTAGAGTAACTTGCTAGACATCACAACAGCCAGGACGGGTAAGGCCAGGACTCAAACCTGAGCAGCAGGGCTGCAGACTTCTTACTTCATTTACAAGTAACCTTTTAAAAAGTCTTTCAAAAACTTTAAATTTGTTAGGAGGTGATGATAACGACATACAGTCAAACTAATTCGAGGTCAACCAAAAGCATCAGTATCTAAAAAGTGACTCATCAAAAAGGTACTATAATTGATCCCTATATTTGCAAAAGAGTTCTTATTAACTATTTAAAAGAATTTTAATATAATTTATTGTCAAGTTAGCTTACAGTATATACAGTGTGCTCTTGGTTTTGGGGGTAGAATCTCAAGATTCTTCGCCTACATACAACAGGCAGTGCTCATCCCAGCAAGTGCCCTCCTCAATGCCGATCACCCATTTTCCCCTCCCCCCAATGCCCCCCCATCAACCCTCAGTTTGTTCTCTGTATTTAAGAGTCTCTTATGCCTCCCTCCCTCTATTTGTAACTATTATTTCCCCTTCTCTTATGAAATATTTTAAGATACTTTTAAATCTATTAGAACCTTGTTTTGAAAAGAAACTACAGGCCTTCAATATTATTCAATTTTCACATCTTAATTTATTCTTGTAAAGAAATTCAATGTTAAAAATCCCCCAAATAAATTTTGTCACAGAGCAAAACTGTATAAACACAAATCTGAGTGTTGTGATGTGGTGAAATGAACATGCACTTGGAGTTTAAAAAGAGCATGCAAATTCTTGCTCTACCTTTTAGGAGCTCTGAGAAACCTCTTCTCTGTGCCTCAGTGTCTCCAAGTTTAAGTTCTAAATGCAGCCAAAATCCTCATAGGATTGTAAAATAATATTTGGAAGGCACCTAACATTAACCTAACACACAGAAGGCATTTAATAAATACTAGTTTCCTCCTTCTTCCCCTTTAATATACTTTATTCTGCGACCTGAAATAATTGGGTGCTATCAGTCCAATAGTCACTCATATGCCTCTAAAAAAATTAAAAATATATATACGCAAAGTAAAATTTACTTCACTGCTGTTTGCATGTGTCTTGGTAAGTGATCTCACTAACACAATACTTTTGTCGAGTTCATAAATTTTAACAGAACTGCCATAAACGTACCTAAAATCACTTCTCAAGTTACTAAGACAGTTTTTTTCTCCATAACACCAAGGTTTATGTGACAGAATTCACTCACAGAAACTGAACTGTAAGGTCAAATAATCATAAAGTGAATTTTGCATGAGCTTTGTATTTACCTGCAGTTTTCCAAGCAGGCACTACACGACCACCCTCCTGACTAGCAACACTGCCTCAGAGTCACAAAGCATCTTCCATGTGTCCTAGTACAAGTTACGCAGGGAACACCTAACTTAGTCATCTTTGATCATATTTTGAAAAGCAAATATGTTAGACGAGCAAATTAAGGCAAATAAAAGTGAAGTACAGATATATACTAACATTCACAACTAAACAATTAACAGCGACGGTGTCAAAAAAGGAAACCACTGCTCCATCGCTACCATTAACAATGCAAATGTGGGTGAACTATACTAAAGAAAACGCCTTATGACAAAACAGCTCTCCTCTGGTTCCTAAGAAACACTCCTTACCATATCAAATACATAAATGTGTTTCCCAGAATGACCAACTCATTTTTAAAACCTATCAAAATGTACTCAAATAACTGCAATAAAAAGAGTTAACTACAGATATTTTTATATATGATCTCAGAAGTAGAGCTCGGAACTTGTTAAACATACCCTAAATTATTTCAAATGCCCTACAGTTCCAGTTTTATTTTTAAAAAAAATTATACAGTGAACATTTGCCATGTATCAATAGTAAAACCCAATAACTCAGTCAATAATGTCTATCCACTGTAGCAGAGTACTTCCAAAATGCAATTTTTTTATTTGATCTCTTTGGTGCCTCTGTAAATTAACCTACTTTGAGTGCCCAAACCAAATCACATGTTTATCAAAGCAGACAGTGTCATTTGTGGAAATTTTTCCTTAATCATGCTGTGCAATGGTTCTATTTTACATTCTGTAAGGATTACCATAAACAGCAAAAAAAGGGGCAGGGATAAATAGAGTAGGACCTACATATATACAATAATGAACAAGTCACCTCCAAAGTTATCTTCCTAGCTTATCCTATTTATAAGTCTCCTGAAAAAAAACATGGGCACAGGAAGGGGCACCTGGGTGGCTCAGTCAGTTAAGCCTCTGATCCTTGATTTCAGCTCAGGTCATGATATGGTTTGTGATACTGAGCTTCATATAGGAGTCTTTATCTCCCTCTCTCTCTACCCGCCCCTGGCTCGCTCATGTGCTCTCTCTCAAAATAAATAAATATTTTTTAGGGGCGCCTGGGTGGCGCAGTCGGTTGAGCGTCCGACTTCAGCCAGGTCACGATCTCGCGGTCCGGGAGTTCGAGCCCCGCGTCAGGCTCTGGGCTGATGGCTCGGAGCCTGGAGCCTGTTTCCGATTCTGTGTCTCCCTCTCTCTCTGCCCCTCCCCCGTTCATGCTCTGTCTCTCTCTGTCCCAAAAATAAATAAACGTTGAGAAAAAAAAAATTTAAAAAAAAATAAATATTTTTTAAAAATAGCACATGAAAACTAAAACATGTCTTTTATATAGTGACCAGGGTGATGAAAAGTTGCACAGGGAGCCACAGTTTTTTAGCCTGAAGGATACTAGGATAACAAGAGGGCTATCTTCAACATACCTGTAGCTAATCCTTACTGATGTATGCTGAGTATTTTTAATGATAAGACAACCTTAACCATTATGATTAACTCTACCTTGCCGTCCAGCCTTCTCATGTGTAAACTACTATTTATTTTCCTTTAAGCTCTCCTATGCTATGGCACTTCACTCTATCTTAAGGTGATAAAAGATTAACGTAGTAACTGTGAGCTTTGCTTCTGAGAAGCCAGAAACCTAATGAATGTTTTCTAAACATACCAAGATGAGAATGTATGGATGTACTATGAAGTGTTCAGTGAGCAGTGTTTGAAAGAGAAAAAAAAAATTGTAATTGTAACTTACAATTAGTACAAGAAGAACTAATGTATATTTTGTATACTACCATATTCTTACATTTAATTTTAGCACAAAACAAAACTGGGAAGAAGAGTTCGTAGACGCAAGGAGATAAATTTTACCTCAATAAAAAACCTTTAAAATTTTTTAATTAGATCTTTTAAATTATTAGAATGCTAGCTTTTCTTTTTTTTTAATTTTTTTTTTCAACGTTTATTTATTTTTGGGACAGAGAGAGACAGAGCATGAACGGGGGAGGGGCAGAGAGAGAGGGAGACACAGAATCAGAAACAGGCTCCAGGCTCTGAGCCATCAGCCCAGAGCCCGACACGGGGCTCGAACTCACGGACCGCGAGATCGTGACCTGGCTGAAGTCGGACGCTTAACCGACTGCGCCACCCAGGCGCCCCAAGAATGCTAGCTTTTCTGAAGGGCAACACTTTCAGGCAGATTTTGGATGATTCTCTGGCAAGGCTGCAGACTATATAGCTGTTTTTCCCAGAAGAGTCCTACTTTTTATATCTACTATTGCAGGGCTCCATTCAACTTAGCATTTTCTCCACCCCTTTCATTCTTAAGAAAACTGAATGGTCAATTCAATAGTCAACCTACATATAATGGGAGTCTTGCCCTTTATGTAATATTAATAGATGGCAAAGGCTGCTATAAGATAACATGACTAGCAAAAACCTATGGTAGTCTCTATCATTCTATGATGCCTTAACACCTCAATTAAAGGAGAAAACAGATTAGAGTTGCAATAAAATCAACTGGTAGAGTCCAGCTACTCATTTTAATCACCCAAGAAGAAAATGAGCTACCTTATCTATGCCTCTAGGGATAAGGTGATAATAGCAGGAGCTAGGAAATCCCTGCAGACAGCACAAGCGATCTAAACCAATAGCGTGGAACACAGGTTCCCACAAAGCACCGCTGCCTGGTATATGAAGTTAGATTTTCTACCAATAAAACTAAATTATAGCAGTCTTCCTTATATATATAAATATGCTATTAAGCAAAGTAACAGAACTGTCTTAATGTTAGGGTGTTTTTTCTTCACTCAAACTTTCCTGTCTCTGGACATTTATCCACTAATGAGAGCTAGCTTATGATAAAGCAAAAATATAAACAATTAGGAAAGAACAGGGGCGCCTGGGTGGCGCAGTCGGTTAAGCGTCCGACTTCAGCCAGGTCACGATCTCGCGGTCCGCGAGTTCGAGCCCCGCGTCGGGCTCTGAGCTGATGGCTCAGAGCC